AGCATGTTTTTAAGGAATTATTTATTTTTCATTTTTTAGTTCGAATTATCTATTAGTTTTTTGTACACATGTGAAATTGAAATATCTAAAGATCTTACACTAGTGGAAAACTGAAAAAACAATACAAAAACCATAAATACATCTGATAAGTAGAAATTTAAAAAAGTAAGTGTATAAAAAATATGATGTATATAACATATATACTAAGTGACATATAAATCCTAACACCCAGTTTAAATGGTTTTATTTTAATAAAATTTTGTATAAGTACTTAATGAAGCATAATAAGTAAATGATAAAAATTTCAAAATGATTGCACTGCTTTAAAGCCCTTTGACCTTTAATATTGTGTGGATGCACCCTGATGTGCTACGCATTCTCCAACGCGCCTAGGCATGCTTCTGATCAGGTGGTCAATGTCCCCCTGTGGTATCTCATTCCAGGCAACCACCAACTCCTCTCGAAGTGCTTCTAGAGTCTGAGGAGGACGTTGCAAATTGAGCAATCTCCTACCCATCACGTCCCACACGTGCTCAATTGGGGATAAGTCGGGAGATCTTGGTGGCCATGGTAACAATGTGATATCATTATGTTGAAAGAAGTCTATTGTGACTCTTGCAACATGTGGTCGGGCATTATCTTGTTGGAAAGTTGGATCTGCCAGGGTGTCAAGATAGGGTAAAAGATGGGGTTCTAGAACTTCGTGGATATAACGCTGCGCGTTCATGTTACCTCTGATGAAGATTAAAGGTGACCTGAAACCATAAGCTATAGCACCCCAAACCATAACTCCAACAGTATGATGAACATGTCTTTCAACAAAAAACTGTGGATTCCTCCTTTCACCACGTCGCCTTCTAACCCTGGCACAACCATCGTGCATGCCTAAACAAAATCGAGACTCGTCACTAAAGACAATACTCTTCCATTCCTGATCCCAGAGTGACCGTTGTCTGCACCACTCAAGGCGATTACGTCGGTGTTCTCGAGTTAAAGGGAGGACCCAGTGTGGCCGGTATGAAAACAAGCCACAACTTCTCATTCGTCGGTTAACACTTCGCATGCCAATAGGTCTTCCGTGTTCTGCAAACCATTCATTTGCAATGGACCTGGTAGTGGAGAAACGGTCCCTTAAGGCCAATAATCTTAGGCGGCGATCTTCACGGTCTGTTGTTCTACGGCGGCGTCCAGTGCCCCTTGCTCTTTGCGTACGGCCTTCTCGAAGCTATGCCTGACAACACCTAACCACAGTGTCTACACTTCCTTGCACTCTAACTGCAATTGCTCGAAAAGAAAGTCCAGCTTCCCGAAGTCCCACTATACGGCCCCTATCAAACTCACTAAGTTGACGAAATCGTAAAGGTCTCCGTACTCTAGGCATCGTAACCGATCGTAAAGGATGTCAAGAACCAAAATCCGCCAACATTGATTCTTTACTGCGGCTGAAATATTCATTTTTAGAGCGTTAGTGAATTAAAAAAAGCAGTATAAAAACCGGAATGTCCAACTGATAAGGCTGAAAATTTTTTCACTTGTTATTTACAGTAAGATAAATACATTCACCAACTTTTATTAAAATAAAACCATTTAAACTGGGTGTTCGGATTTATATGTCACTTAGTATACATATAAGTGAAGGCTATTCAATATTTCATGAGTTAAAAGTATAAAATTGTAATAGTTATACAAAACAAAGGAATGCTAGATTGGAAATATTTTTGTGTGAGGTGACAGATAAATTTTATCAACTAATTTATATACTTCTGTACAAAATAAATTTCTTCATATGTCTTTTAAATTCATCATATGATAGCAATTTTGTGGATCGAGGTAGATCATTGTAAAAAATAATTGCGTTGTAGGAGAAGCATTTACGAATGATGTCCTGTGAAGGGGCATTATGAGTGTGTCAATGAATCGAATGTCCCTAGAATGGATATTGCCTCTAGAAATCAGCTTATTTCTCAAAAACGGTGGAATAGATGATGGCAAAAGCCTGTGGGTGTGAGTAACTAAGTGTAGCTCACACAGTTCATTTACTCTCAACCACTTCATGTCAATGAAAAAAATGGCTGATATGATAATATTTTTCCAAATTATTGATCAACCTACAACATGAGTTTTGGATTTGTTGCAGACGTGCTAGAGATATTGACTCAAGAAATGGAAGATAAACTAAATCGCAATAACTAATTTTGGACATTACCAAAGATTTACACAAAACTTATTATTATTATATTTATAATTGACGTAAAATTGAAAAACAACTCTAACTGATATTATTTACATGTGGTATAGAATTTAGACATTCATCTAAAGTTACACGTTTTTCATTGACTCACTCACTTCTATAGCCTCACCATTTAATTTTACTTTAAAATTTATTTTGGCATCACTTCTAAATAGTTTTGGTGAAAAAATGATGACTTTCGATTTTAAAGCGTTCAGCTGAAGGTTATGATTTTTTGCATACATACTAATAGATGTTACATCTTCATTTACCTCAGATTCAGCATTTCGAATGTCGTGATTATGGAAATGACTGTAGATCTGTGAATCGTCGGCAAAGAATTGGATATTACAATATTTAACAACTGAGTGGAGATCGTAAATATACAAAATGAATAGGAGTGGCCCAAGTACAGACCCTTGAGGCACTCCGGAGGAAATGAGGCACTGTGAAGATAGAACCATGTCAATGATATCGATTTCCTAAGAAGCTCTAAATCATTTGTGAGGCAGAATCAGAGAAACCAAAATAGTTAAACTTGGCTACTACTCGTAGAAGACGATGATTTATGGTATCGAATGCCATAGAAAAGTCAAGAAGAACTAATGATATGATCATATGTTGATCCCAGGCTCTAACAATGTTATCGGTTAAGCCTTGTAGGGACCTGCAGTGTTATATCCTTTTCGATAACCGCATTGTTTGGGAGGCAAAATTTTACGTTTAGAGAGATAATCGTAAATTTGGGCGTACATTGCTTTTTCTAATAATTTGGAAAAACAGGTAAAATACTGGTCTTAAATCAAAATATAATTTTGATCTACTTATTTTAGCTAGAGGTAACACTAATGCATCTTTCCATGATTCTGGGAAAAAAACCCCTTTCTAAACAGGTATTTATGATGTGTAAAATAGGACCTGAAGGCATTCGATTTCATATACTGGAACATCGATTTTAAAAGTCATTTCGATTGGTTTAAACTTGAATCAATCTCTAGAATAGTGGTTCTTTTCATAAGGCTAGGGTTCTTTAAATGTAGAGGAATATCGGTATTTTGTGCCTGTTGGATACGGGTTGATTTTAAGGATCTATAAAACATATTTGAATCAATTTGTTGACGGAGGGATAATAAATATGCTGCTTTTTCAGATATCTTATTTGACTTAAAGTTGATTTTCTGAGCTCTTTAAAGTGATTCCAGGAATCTTCTGTCTTATCAACTTTAAACTGATTTAAAGCTCTGTCTCTGTCTTTCATCATACGTTTAAGCTGGGATGATAGCCAAGGTGCATGCGGTTTATTCACACGTACAATTCTTAGAGGTGCATGCTTATCAAAAATGAATTTTAGCCCAACTGTCAAATATGAAATTTTGTGATCAATACTCTCTACGGAATATATGACGCTCTAGGGAAAGTTTTAAACATCATTTTGAAATGCTAAAATATGAAAATTTTTAAAGTCTCTGAATTTAACGAATTTTTGCTTAGGTTTTTTAGACTGCAAAGTTATTTCACTAAATACTAAAAAAATATCGATAAACAAATCTTTATAGTACCAGAATTTAAACAGACTTGAAGATCATTGATAAATATGTTACTCATTCACGAAAAACGGAACGGATCTGTCTGAAATTTGGAACAGAGGTAGACTAGAGAGCACATAGGCTACCTTTTATCCACGTAGATGAACTTGAAATATCTATTTTACGGGCTGCAGCTCAAATGACTGAATGGAATTTGACTTGGGGTGTATGTCGCGGAAGCTTTCAGTCATTGGTCCGATCAAAATGAGTGAGAGAATATAAATGGGGTATTTGTATCGTGCATTTGATGAATTTCGAAATTAGTTTTTTTAGCGTGATCGTGTCCATTTAGTTCTGTTTGATGTTTTGTTTTACTTCTAGTGTAATACCATGAATATAGTTATTGGAATAGTTGTCACACAATCTTTAATGCTGCTAGGCGTGTAAGGTATACTTACCTGTTATTTAGTATACTCTTTGTGTGGTCTGGTATCTTCTTCTATGTATATAAATGTGAACCATCTGAACCACAATACTCGAGGAAGGATATAGCCATAGCTTTATCTGTGAATTCATCGGCAATTTTGTAATAAACTCTCGTGGCAAGCGCCAAAATCTCCACCGTCAGCGTCAAGCCGGCAACAGCGCAGCCAGCCATCGCCCCATTCATCCTGTGACCGTCAAAGCGACAAGCGAGCACGAGGTTATCGGTCATGTTTTTTATACCAAATAAGTCACCCTCGCCCTTCGCCCCGAAAACGCTAAGCGCTCTTTGAGAACGCCAAAACTCACACAGAACATACCAGCTGACTGTTACGCAGTCTTCGACTAGTGATGTTGAATAATTATGAATTGTTCATGGATATGAAATGTGGGAAATAGTACTTTTACATCAAAAGGGAACCATGTTGTTTGTCTTGTGAGGAATAAAATATACTGCGCCAAATGAAACGTCGTACAGAAAACTGTAATTAAGACGTAAATTGTTACGTTTTAGCGACCCGACAATAGAGTCTCACATTTGCTGGGCTTCGATGCCATCGGTGGACCCATAGTTAAATAAGAGGAAGCTTATCAGCTGGCATCTGTCTCCAAATGACTAGACGTGCATCGTACTGATGATTTAAAAAAACCGTAAAACAAGGTTGTGCATGGTTGGATTCGGTCACAAACTAAACCTAATTTACATAAAAAAACATACAAGATTCTTCACCATTACTCATGCCATAACTTTGTAATTCCAGGAAAGCGGGAAGGGCTCTGCGATAATAATCTACGAAGGTCATCCGTCTCCTGTGGGTATCTCGGACGTGATTCCTGATAATAAGGCTGCCCCACGCCGAACCACAACTTTCGATACTTCGTTATGCGAGGCTGATGACGACGAAGGGAAAGTTTGCCTGAGATCCGTCGAAAGTTCCTCTAACATTCAAGTCGGATTGGAAGAAGCCGAAGTTGCCAAGAAGATCTATCTCGGCTTTGATTACGGACACCAGCTGGTGGTTATTGATAGTAGCGGTAAGTTTTAATACACCAAATTAGATTTTTTGCGAGCTGTATCGTCAAACTAAGTTTTAGTTCTCATTTATCTACGACTTCTTTTGTGAGACATCAAGTAACTTCTGTTATGGGGGATGTGGAGGCGTCCGCAGATATCCACTTACTTCAGTTTGTTCAGTTGTATTCGATTGCTGTGTTAAAAGGTACCTCTCAAAATAAGTTTTAGTTCTCTTCTGCTACGACTTTTTTCTAGTAAAGAATCAAGTGGCGTCGAGTAATTTGAAGGGCCAGCATACACATTCTATACGTAACTAAGCTAATACAGTTTGTTACAAGATCTTTCCAATTCACCAAGCGGATTGATTTATGGTAGTAAGAAGACAAGAATCGGATTACCGACCTTGCCATCTGTAATCTTATTTTCAGTGTAAACATGAACCTCCGGCCATATGGTCAACTGGGGATGCGGAGTTTGTAAACTAAGTTAACTAAATATTTGATGCTTACGTTATTTCTTTTGACTTCTTTTTTGAGTTTCCAAAGGATGAGGATCTCAAAAAAAATAGACTGAAATACTTCCAACGCTTTTACTCAAAATCTAAGTATGTTCATTTGTGTCCAATAGAGCGAAAGTCTCTATATATCAAACTTTATATAGTGAATTTATCACATTCCTGTGATTACTGTGTCTATCAGGTGCGTAATATTACCTGATCGTCAGCTTTTTTTATTATCACCAGACAACAACAACCACTCAACCCCTATCGCTTGCAACCGGCAATTTCCAATTCCTCGCGATATCATATGGTGCCACATAACTAAATGCTATTTCACAGGAGGAGGAGCAATGAATAGAAAGCATCAAACCGTTTACAAACTACGTTTCCGCATGGTCTCCAGGTTTGGGCATTGTGAAAAAAACTTCTTGTCGAAGTTAAAGTTTTGCAAAATTACGAAACTGTATTTTTTACCGTTTTACAGTATTATAATCACTTAAATATTTGCATCACGACGTATATGTTATGGTGCACTTTCGGGAAACGTTTTCCAAGATCCAGAATGTATACGTAGGTAAAAAGAGTTTGAAAATACTTATATGAATTCATGAGAAGTACTGAGTAAATCTACTTGATAACATTTCCTTCTAGTATTTCGTTCCTGAGAATTATTTTCTTATCCACTATCGATATGAACCAACTTAGATCCTATACTAATACGCAAATACTCCAGAATTATAAAATCTCGAGCTTATTCCTCCTCACCTCCCACATTTCCTTCCTTCTGGTCAACCTGGATCCACCAACTCATCTGACTCCCTCTTTTCCTTAAAATCTTGAGAAAAATCTACATAATGTCAAAAAAAAATCGTCATAATGTCACTTTTCAAGATACCTGATACCCGTGCGGTTCTTTGCATAATCTTATTTAAAAAATGGCGTAAGGTAGGTTGATCCTGCATTTCCTTAGTAACGCTATCACCAGTTCAGAAACGATTATAGTCGGCACAAGTAAGTCACCTCTGGCTACGAACTTGTCTAATAAAGAAATTAAATGGATTATGACAGTAAAACAGGCACATACAATACTTCGTTCTGTGATTCAGTTATTGCTCAGCTCATTGAGCTGCCCAGCACGCGTATGTCGAAAATAATGAAAAATCAAGTTTTAACGGCAAATGTATGGGGAAATCCCTAATGTATGAAATATGACTTAGCGGTGTGTAGAACTATCGGGGTTGACAAAGTACAAATTGCTATCGGAAAAACTGACATATATAGATACTCAATCTCATCTCCTACAACCACCAACATCCCATTTTCAACCCCTAAAAAAATTTCTGAAAATGGTGATGCTCCTCTAAAACAGGGTTTCCCAACCTTTTTTTTTTGTTCAGGCTCCCCGGACTATGAATTATATTTTCATGCCCCCCTGTGCTTTTTCAGTAAATACCAAAAAACGTACATTATATAGATACCAAGACTTACTTATTAGAATAAAGAAACTTTAAAACTTTGAATAAACTAATAAATGTTTTTTATCGAAAAACTTGAGTAAAATAAGAGTAGGTACCAATGAGACACTTGAGATTGCATGTTCTGTACCAGTTGGTTGATTCTAGGTTTTGTTTTTGCCAGAGCTATTATCAGGTCACTATCCACATCAAGACGATTTCACGGTTTAGCTTTAATCAAAACTAGAGCAGAAAAGGTTGTCTCACATAAGTAAGTTGAAGAAAAAGGAACTAGTATTCGTAAAGCAAGACAGGCAAGTGTCGAATTAACAGGCAATCCTTTGATCCAAAATTTCTCCAATGTTAAAAGATGGAAGTCATCTTTCATGGACGAATCAGCCTTGGATTTCTTGTCATGTGCCATATTGGTGACTAATTGATGTCAGCTTTTGAATTTGCATCCAGTATGTTATTTTTAATTGCAGGCAGCATCAGTGGCCGCAGTAGTAGACTCTTCGGTCTCCTGATCAGTCGCCGTGCGCTGTGCGGGTTCGAGTCCCGTCCCAGGTGAAATTTTTCTCTTGGCTATGGATGTTGTGATTGTCCGTAGGTGGTAGATGGTCTCTGACTGTCGAACGCGGAGGTGCCACCCGGCGGATCTCGTAGGCGGAGCCAGAATGTGTGCATGTTGCATGCACACGTGTTCCCACGCCAGAGTCCGTGTGGCGTTCCCCTGTATCCCCCTATAGCCCCACGGTACCCAATGGGTGTTTAGGCCTTAGGCCATCGTGGTAGTTGGAGTATAAAAAAATTGCTTCGAACTGCCGAGAAAAAGATGTAACATTTTCAGAAGACACTTTTTCATTCCAAAGTTGAACCCCTGAATATCATCATAATTGCTTATTATAATGTTGTTCCTGCCCTGAAATTTCAAGTTTAGCTCATTCAAGGAGTCAAATATGTCAGTTAAATAAGCCAACGTCCATTGAAATGTGTCATCTTTGAACATTGTCAAGAAATCGTGTTTTTCTTTGAACTCGAGAAAAAGAATTATCTCTTCTTTCAATTCATAAAGGCGAGCCAACATGTTGCCTTTGGACAGCCAGCGTACTTCTGTATGGAACAGAAGAACTTTGTGATCAGAATTGAGATCCTCGCAAAGTAAAGCAAATAACCGACTGCTCAAAGCGCTGCTCTTGATGTAGTTTACAATCCTTCTAGCCGAGTCCAAAGTCTGGCGTAATTTCTGAGGCAATGTTTTGGAAGCCAAAGCTTGCCGATGTGTTACAATGTGTACTAACCATTGCGAGAATTTTTTCCTTGAACTTTTAAGCTAAGCCTGATCGTACACCTATCATTGCAGGTGCGCCATCTGTGCAAAGTCCAATGAGTTTCTTCCAATCCTAATAGTTTCTTTCAATAAAATTTGATATTGAATTAAATATATCTCCAGATTTAGTACCTGCTGCCAAAGACTGGGAGTACAAAATCTCTTCTTGAATGATATCTCCGCCGATGCAACGAACATAAACTATTAACTGTGTACAATTAAAAAATGGCGATAATTTTACTTTGCTCATTATCTGCGTGGCATTTAGGACACATGGTGTTATTAATTATTCGCCGATAGTATGAGGATTCTTTTGCTTTGCTATCATAAAAGCTATTTCGAATGAAGCTTTGAGATGCTGCGATACACCTGTGTGATAGCTTCCCGATTTATCCAGTCTCATGAGTGATTCTGCTTTAGAAGAAAAAAAGTATTTCGTCTTTAAAACCAGAGTACATGGTATCTTGTTGCTTCAAATGCCTTTCAAGGCGATTGGGCCTCATGCTATCATTACTTAAAGCTTTCATACATATCACACACTGAGGCAATTGTAATTCGTCTTTTTCTAAGAAGGTAAATCCAAACATAATCTTCGGAAAACTTTCTTTTTTTCGTTGCCATATTGCACCTATAACAAAAAAACAAATAAGTAATAAATAACTAAGCAAAATACCTACATGTAATTACTAATTGTGCATTATTGTATCTTAATAACGTAATGTATTCAACATTATATTGGCCACCGGGAGATTTATATTTTTGTAGGCAGGTTGACGTTATAATAGTAATTTTAAATACATTTGGAATCAATATTATTTCTCGTTTCAAAATTATTTCCCCATGCTGGTTTGATTGTGATGTGGTGAAAAAGTCCCAATGACCGATCTATAAACGCATCTCCACTCAATCAACAATTTAGTAAATTAAATAAAAATGGTAACTGAAGTTTATAAATACACAAACTTACCTTTTAATAGTGAGACGCAATAATTTGAACACTCAATTAGATTTCTCACCAAAACATGTACATCGAAACGACAAATTTTTCCCAAGTTTGTGGGAATGAATGTCGCAGATGCTCATCCGCGTTTGGTAGGTTCACAATTGTTTTCTAAGTGATGCATGTTAAGCGGGGCGCGCGGATTTCATGTTGTAACGTGTCGAAACTTGTATAAACTCCGTTTGACGACGCCGGGTTTTGAATCAGCGGCTGACAGAATAAGTGAATATGATATTTAATTTCTGATTTTATGCGTGTAAATTAAACATTACATTGTAATGTTGTTTGTTTATTTTTTGTTTGTTTTTTCTTTCCAAAATGTAATCGCTTGCCCTCCTTGACATCTCTCTATGACTCGCTTGGAAGGCGCGCTCCTCTGGTTGGGAACTCCTGCTCAAAAACGTCCAAAAACGAAATGAGAGGGATCTTTATTTTTTCATTTTGGCCTTTTTCTCGGCCGCCATTGGACCGACTTTCAAACACTATACAGCTTTGTACTTGGCCTGGTAGTAATCTTGTGTGAAAATTCCATCAACATCTGAGTGGTACTTCCCAAGTTTAGCAGACAGACAGACATACCTCACACCTCGCACATAGACAGGTCGACGGAAGTGAGTGACAAGGTATTTAAATTAATAACAATATGGGAGAATATTTTTTGGCACTCTGAATACGCATTCTACTCAAAATGGAGTATTCTGGGTACGTTGACCCCTTCCATAACTTTCTTGCCTGGC